ATTTATATAAAATGTGAATTCCTAAACAAATATGAGAGTTGCTACTATTGTTTCCATTGGCACATATAGAATCTAAGAGTTGCAGGGAACCAGAGAAGTTAACAAGTCCAACTCCCTATAGCTCTAAGTAGTTAATATGTATTTCAGATCCCATGGGGTTAAATCAGGGTCCATTATCTGCAAAAATTGTGAGATAGGAAAACTCTTGCTTTTTGTGTCTTTTTAATTCCCTCTTTTGGGGACCCCTCCTTTTTTTTCTTCTTCTGGACAGCCTTATGGCTAGCCATGAAACACCAGCCCTTAAAGAATCCCAGAATCTAGGAATTGCAAGGGACCTCAAAGGTCCCCTAGTCCAACCCATCCCTGAAGCAGGGATCAAAAGTTTCCTCAACAAATCATCTTCCAACTTCTGTTTGAACCCCTTTATTTGCAAGAAATTCGTTTCTTCCCAAAGTCATCTGATTCTATTATTATTGCACAGCTTTGATAATCAACAAGCATTTATTAAGTCCCTTCTATGTGGCAATCTCTGTGCTAAGTTCTGGAGATACAAAGAAAGGCAAAAGCAAACAAAGACAAAAACCAGCTGCTGCCCTCAGGGAGCTCACAGTCTAATAGTTGAGACAACATAAAAACAACTAATACAAACAAGATAAATAGATCTAGATATAAAAATTGAAGGTAATCTCAGAGAGCATTATGATTAAGGAAGATTAATAACCACTTCTTGCTGAAGATTAGTCTTTAGCTGAGACTTGAAGGGATCCTGGGAAGCCAGGAGGCAGACATGAGAAGGGAGAGTGTTCCAGGCATAGAGGAGAGACAGAGAACATGTTCAGTCAGGACTGTTGTGTTTGAGGCACAGCAAGGAAACCAGTAGTTTTTTGTTCATTTGTATATTACACCAAAATTTACCTCTCTGTAACTTCTACCCACTGGTTTTAGCTGGGCCTTTCAGAGTCAAGCCCCTAGATTCTTCATGATAGTCTTTCAAATGCTTTAAGATAGCCATCATGCTTTGCCATTCTTTTGTTTAGGCTAAGCATTCCCAGTTCTCTCAGCTATTCCCCTGTGGCATGGTTTCCTGTCCTCTTCCTACCCTACTATTGAAGTACTCCAGCTGATCAATGTCATTCATAGAATGGGACGCCCAGAAATGGACCTAGGACTCAAGATATGGTACAATAAGATTATCATTACGTCTGTTCTGGAGAATAAAATTCTGTCCATGTAAGCCAAATTCACATCAACCCTTTTGGCTGTTGAAGAACACCACAATTGACTCATATAGATCTTTCAATATGATAGATACTATATATTGATGAAAACACTCAAGTATTTTTACATGAACTATTTTACAGAGAGGTCATTCTTATTTTATACTGAAGCAGGTAAATTTAACATGAATGGAAGACTTTGCATTTATTCATCTTACCTTTCTTCAAAGGCCCTTTATTGAATATAATTTTATCCTGTTATGGTGAATAAGATTTTTTAATTAAAATTTTAAATTTCTGCTTTTCTGCATTTGTGCATAATGTCACTTCCTGGTCCTTTACAAACCATGCTGCCTACATTCTGACCCACATCCCAGTCATCTTCATTCACTTTTCACTAGAACCTTAAACTCTGACCCTGGAACCACCCTAGTCTCTGAAAGGTGAATTTCCATCTTGTCTTGCCCAGACCCAGGATTCCATATCACTTTCCAGCCATTTCCAAACCAGGCTATTTATATTCCAGCCATAGTCCTCATCCTCCTCGTCATTCCACCTCTTCTGCTTTCTAACTCTGCTTTATGTATTGTTTTCTTCTATTAGAACATAAATTCTTTGAGGGAAGAAACCTCGTTCTATTAATTCTTATTGTTTCATGGAATCATTGAGTTCTGTTTGTTCCATTCTATTTTTTAGGGCATCTACTACATCAAAAAGACTATTGTACCCTTGATTCCAGGATATTTATTTGCCTTTGGATTTTTACTTCCAGAAACTTTAATTTCATTTTTTATCTCTCATTTTATTTCTTCCAGCCACTCTTGTAGACCTGATGGCCAAGCAATTTTTTTTTACCTCTGAGGTTTTGCTTGTAGTTACTGTTGAGCTAGTTTTTTCTTCTGGCTTTGCTTCTTGTACTTTTCTTAATCCATAATATTTCCTCACTGCTTAGTTGTTTTCTTGTATTTGCTCATTTTTCAGCTTTTGTTCTTCAATTAAAGTTTTATGCCCGGGCCAGTCCCCTCAGTAACTCTTGGATAAGTTGTTGGCCCTGTTTGTTCCTATTCTTTTTGTAGTCTGGATGCCATTGTTGCTACTTTTCTGGATAGGGAAACTGGCACTGGGACCCCTTCTGTGCCTCAATCCCTGACCACTATGCCATACTGCTCTACCCTCTAAAGAGAGGCCGTGAGGTATAGAAGGTAGAAAACTGGCCTTGGAGTCAGGAAGACCTGGGTTCAAGTTCTACCTCTGACACATACTGGCTGTTTGACGCTGGCCTAATCACTTAAACTCTCAGCACCTCAAGAAACCCTCTAGAAGTACAAGTGGCCAAGCAGATGATGGTTTGCATTGGTTAGGTTGTTTCTTTCCTGGGAGTTACCTATGCCAATAAAATCACAGGTCTAATCCCCTCAAAATCATGTTGTGGTCCATGGTGTAAAATGTTGATCTAAACCTATTTTTTGCTAAACTGTTTTAATGTTTCCCAGCAGTACCTGTCAAATAGGGAATCCTTCCCAGAGTAATTTGTGTTCTAGGGTTTAAAAAATAGTTAATTTATAAACATTATTAAGTGCCTACTATGTGACAAACACTTTGCCAAGTGCTGGGGATACAAATATAAGAAAGATAATTCCTGCCCTCAGAAAACTTACAATCTAACTGGAAACAACAATACCCAAAAGGAATATGAAAACTTGGGGTAGGGGAGGGGCCCATGGTATCCCCTGCCTTAAAAGAAGATTTTGGACCTCATGACTCCACTGTTTAATCAGAGGAACAGAGGTACCGATGAGATATAAGTATCAAAGCTGATTCAATCTTGCAGAATACTGAATTATTGAACTAATTTTTTTTCTAATTCTTGGAGAGAGAGAAAACAAGATAGTCAGAGGCAGAGAGACTGACAGTCTTTACAGTCTATCTTCCCTTCATTTCTGCTTTTTTAAGAAATTATTTCCCATGAGATTATAGATATTTAGTCCTTCAAATAAATTTTGTCATTATTTAGTCTAGTTCTATAAACTGCTATTCTATAGAGCACCATATATGCCCTATACACTCTACTACTATAAATCTCTTGGTAGCTGGACTGGTATAGCACCAATTTACAAATTAACTTAGATAGTATTGTCTTTTTTTATTATGTTGTCACAGACCAACCATGGGCAAGGAATATGCCTCCCATTATTTGTCTTTCTTTATATCTTCAAAGAGTCTTTTGTAATTATGTGTGTATATATAAGTATATACATGTTATATATACATACACATTATGTATGTGTGTGTGTGTCTCAAATGTGTCTTTGTAAATTGACATCTAAATATTTTATGTATTTTGCAATTATTTTCAATGGAATTTTCATTTCTATTAATTCCTCCTGGATTTTGTAGTTGCTACATAAAAATGCTTTTGGGTTATATGTATCTATTTTATATCCCAATGATGTGGATACAATGATACCCTGAGGGTCAAAAAGAATATTAAGGGTTGCTTTTCCAGTACGTCGTGAGGCCCATCCTGGGGGTGGGGGGGCGGCCCTCGTTCTGTAGCTCATCCTGTAACTTAAGAGCATCTAAAGTGTTTTCCCCCATCTTGAAATACCACAAAGCTTCCCCTTATCCTGGACCATAAAATTCCTTGTCTCCCTTATCCTGTGTCCCCTCTGCCCTCTTTATCTTGTCCTTAATCTTTAAGCAACCATCTCCTTTTAACCCTTTAAAAAACCCTAAAACTACATCATCATTCTGAAATCTCTATATCAGCCTGGTCCTCCCAAATATCAGGGCCTAAATTAGCTTTTTTTGCTAAAAGGGCCCATGTGTGTTCACATAATAAAGTTCCTAATGGCTAAAAGAGAACGCTGTCTAAGTGAATTCTTTCACACTTGAACGGCTTTCCCGAATCTGACCTCAACACCACTTTGCTGAAGTTATTGCCTCAATTAGCTTCTTTGCTGATTCTCTAGGGTTTTCTAAATCCATTTCTAAATTCATTGTGTTGTTACTGTTTTTGGCATTTTGCCCAAGAACTTAGTATATGCCTTACAGATGGAACTTAATAACTGTTTGTGGAATTGACTTAAATTTCTACATTTTGTCCAGAAAGATATCATAAGAGACTTTGCCAAATGTACTGCTAAAACTCAGGTTATGGTTATGGCATTCTCTTAATCTCTTATGTTAGCAACTCTGAAAAAAAAAAGGAAATGAGATTATTCTATCATGAATTTTTAAAATTCTGATTCATAGTGATCACTGCTTCCTTTCCTAAATGTTCATGAATCATTCCTTTAATAATCTATCCTAGAATTTTACCTGAAATTGAAATGAAGCTTACTGGTATCTTTTTTGAAAATCAGGAAAATGTTTTCTCACCCCAAGTTCTTTAGTGCCTCTCCCATTCTCCATGTTTGTATGTTTATTTGTTTGTTTATTTTCCCAAAGCTCAGCAACAATGACTCTGCAACCTTATCCATAAGCACTGAAGTGCCCTGGGGTATGGTCCATCTGGTTCTGGGGAATTTAATTCACTGAGAATAGCTAGTTCTCTCTTAACATACTCTCACTTATCTTGGATTTCCATGCCCTATTAACTTTTGTTTTATCCTTCCCAGGCTGAAGATTATTCTGCTTCATAGAGAAAAGAAAAACAAAAGTAGACTAATTCTGCCTACTCTTTTCATTTACTATTATCTCACAAACAGTGGTCCTAACCCTTTCCTTTTCCTCCTTTTGCCCCCAGTGTAGCTTCAAAAATTACCTTTTTTGTTGTTATATGTGCTTGCTTTGGCAGCATATATTCTCAAATTGGAATGATACAGACAACATTAGCCTGGTCCCTGCACAAAAATAACACACAAATTCACAAAGCATTCCATATTGGGGAAGGAGAGTACAGCTAGGTGGTGTAAACTATAGAGCACCAGGCCTGGAGTCAGGAAAACTCATCTTCATGAGTTCAAATGAAGCCTCAGACACTTAATAGCTGTGTGACCCTTGGCAAGTCACTTAACTCTATTTGTTTCAGTTTCCTCATCTGTAAAATGAGCTGGAGAAGGAAAGGGCAAACCACTCCAGTATCTTTGCCAAGAAAGCCCCAAATGGGGTCACAGAGAGTCAGACATGACTGAAAAAACTACATTGTGACATCCTATCATGACCAGCCTTCCCCAAGCCATGCTATTTGCTCAGTACCTAACTATTCTTGACTCCCATCAAAATTTGCCAATTGGAGCTGAGAGGCTAATGAGTCTTAAAGAGTTAACATGCGATAGTGGTTTAATGCCTTAATCCTTCTTGGATTGCATTTTAACAGGAAACTTGAGCAGGTTATGGAAAGAATTTCAGACATTTAAGTAGGTTGATGGGAAGCATATTTGGGGACAAGAAAACTTTTCACATTCATGCCTCAAATCAGACCTCTTCGGCAATTGACTACTAAGACTAGATCTAACATGGGACTTAGGGAAAACAAAATCATTTCCAGAATGAGGGCAGAAATTCAAATTACAGAGAGAAGTCATATACATATGCTTTTAAACACATGCCCAATTCAGCGTGCTGAGACTTTTATGATTCACTTTGACCATACCAGCCTGTCAGAGTATCTATCACTGTCTGGGTTTTGAAATTCCATGGCACTATCCAGTGAGATTAGCTATTCAGATGCTGACTCAAGAACCAAGAACTAAAGTGACTGTGAGAAGGGTAATAAAGTCTTTATTGCCAACCAACCTTTTTCTTTTTTTAATGTCTTATAAACAAAGGAAGGACTACAGGAAAGTGGAAATAACACTGGATTCAGACTCCAAAGTGTTAGCCCACTTAGTAACTGTGTGACTTTGGTCAAGTCACTTAACTTTTCTGGGATTCAGTAAAATCTGTAAAATGAAGGGCTTGGGTTGCATGATCTCGAAGGCTCTTCAAACTCTTAAGTCCCATGATCCTTCAGAGTAGAAGAGAATTTAGAGTAGCAACTCATAGAAATACAGAATATCACACCTTCAAGGAACCTTACAAGTTAAGATAATCTCATCAGATTAGACCCCTTCTCCCAAAGGAGGAGAGGGCAAACTAAGAGACAGAAACAACCAGTGACTGATGAAACCATCCATAGTTATAACCACTGAACACAAAATATATTATACCAATCCATGCATTCATTCTTTCCTGGCTTACTTCTAATTAGTATATTTAAAGGTGCATGGGGGTCTGCCTATCCTATATTGATTCATTTACAATAGCTTCTGACTCCTTTTATCCCTTCCTGAATGAGAAATAGGATAAGTCTCAAGGTTCAGAGGTCATCCATGGTCAGTCTACAGTTCTGGCAGAGCTGGCTGCTTCTTAGTTGGACCTCCTGTGTTCCATGACATGTCAGAAGTTAGGACAAAAGAGAACACGGTAGCTGTCTTATAGGCTGGTATATGTCCTCCTCGTACTCTTTGTTTTAATATCAGCAAATTACAACCAGATGAGTTCTTTCTGAGCCTGAGCTGTGTCTTTCTTGTGAACGTATAGAGTTCATACAACAAGGAATACTGGATATGGAAAAGGCCTTAGAATCATAGAAACATAGGAGGTTAGAACTGGAAGGAGCATTGGAGTCATGATCAAAGATAGAAGGAATTCTTAAGATCATTTTATCCAGTCCCCTCAATTCATAGATGAAGAAACTGAAACTTTTCCAAGGTCACAGAGTTCATAAGTAAGAAAGCTAGGACTAGATCTTTGGACTTTCAGTCCATTTCTCTTTCCAGTACATCACGATATGTTGAGGGGTGATGAAACAAAGTAGAAAGGTCCCTGAAAGGGAACCTAGAGGGTTTGGATTTGAGCTCAGCTCCAATGCTTCACATATCTGAGCTTCAGTTTCCCTACTTGTAAAATAGGGATAAAAAATTTTGCTACCATCTTTATAGAGTTGTTTGTAAACATAATTGCTATAGACATATGAGATATGATAATCATGACTAAGCCAGACAAATCTTCCTTGGATTACTAATAACCAGCCTTCTATCAAGAGAAGAGATTTCCTGGATTTAGGATTGAATCTCAAGTAAACCCACATTTCAGATTTTTCAATTCTAACCTTCTAGAGAGAGAGGAAACATTCCTAGGCCATGTTCCTTGGGAGAGAGAATAGGATTGTGTACACTACTCCATCCTTAGGGCCCAGCACATGAACTTATACAGAGTAGGACATGTGTGCCCATCAATGTGTGCTTCTGATGGATTTGTGAGGCTTAACTTGTTGCCATTTAAAGACTCTTTAGCATAGGCAGTGTCTTGTGTGGCCTAATAACATTCTATTCCTCAAATTTAAAAATCCAAATCCAACAAATATTTATTTAGTATTTACTATGTACAAAGCACAAAAAATGTAAATTGGATGGGATTGGTTAATAAACCCTCATAGATCTAGATTTCTGATTGGAGACAGAAGATCCAAACATAGATAGAGTACATGATATTATGTGAGAATTGCATTAGAGTTACAAAAAAAGTGTTATGTGAGGTCAAACAGGGAAGGTTACTATGAATAGAGAGGATCCAGGAAGGTTTCATGTAGGAGGTGGCATGTGGTTTGGGTCTTAAAGGATGGGCAAAAAGTTAGCAGGCAAACACTTGCATTAATAGCTTTGGTGCTCCAGTGGCCAGGGCTAGTTCAGAATCTTAATTAATTAGGTAATTGTCCACCAAAAAAAGCAAGGCGGGGGGGGAAACAGCAGTGATATTCATGTTCTTAATCAGTAGCCGGGCTGAGTTCATTAACAGTAAAAGACTTTTAATTTAAAAAAAAATTAAATTAAAAAAGTAAAGGAATTTGAGAAGCATTTAAAGCTGTGAGATTTGAAAAACATACCTAGGTTAGAGAGAAGATCAGCTTGCAGATGCTGAGGCAACAGATTGTTCACTAGTGAGGCAATGTGCTAGAGCGGGAGCTGTATTAAGCACTTATTATGTGCTGTGCTCCTTTCTTTATGAAGGAAAATAATCTTCAGACTTGGAAGGAGAAAACAAAAATTAATAGGGCCTGGAAATAAGTAATAGTATGTTAAGAGAGAACTAGCTATACTCAATGAATTAAATTCCCCAGAACCAGATGGACCATATCCCAGGGCACTTAAGTGCTTGTGGATAAGGTTGCAAAGTCATTGTTGATGAGCTTCCTTTATTGCTTCCCTCCTTCTTCCTTCCCCACTCCCTTGTCAGCTTCCTTTTATGTATTGATTTTCCTTATTAGAATGTAAGCTCCTTGAGATCAGGGACTGCTTTTCTGTTTCTATTTAGAGTTCCAGCACTTACTAAAGTGCTGGCACATAGTAGGCACTTAATAAATGTTTGTTGATTTGTCTTGATTCTATTATGCAACACAGAGAAAGAGACATTCTAGTTAATGGAAGGTTGCTGCACACAACATGCATAGATTCCCAATTTTCAAAGTATCAATGGATGTCAATGCAGGTTAACCCATTTTCTACACCTCATTGTCTTTGAGAATCAAATGAAGTATTGAGAAGTTAAGTGACTTGCCTAAGGTTGCACAGCCAGTATAAATCAAAGGCGGGCTTTGAACAAGGTGCCCCTATATTCACTATACCATGTTTATCTATATCTCTCTCAGTTTATCTCTGTCTCTGTTAAATATGATGCCCTCAGCTGGCCACAATCCTCCAGAAGTGGCTCGATCAAGGCACCAGACTGGATACTATCACTTCCCTCTCTCTGGACTTCTGTTAATGCTATTGAAAATCATGTTCTTTTTTTTTTTTAGTTCTTACATCATACTCTAGGCCCATGTCAGGCTTGTTGTCCACTAAATAACTGTAACAATAACTCATATTTATGTAGCACTTTAAGGTTTGTAAAGCATTTTAAAAACTATTGGTGTCATTGTGTTAGTTTTGACCCCATCTTGCTAAAATGCCCAGATCTTTTTGAATCTTGATTCTGTCATCCATATGACACATCCTAATGTCATCTGCAAAAGTGGCAATTATGACATCTATAATTTCACTGAAGTCACTAATAAATATGGTGAACAGAATGGGGTCAAAGGACAGATCTCTGGGGCATTCCACCAGAGAATTCAACTCCCTCCAGGTTCACCCTAGTCCATTAATCATTACTTTGGGGGTTTAGTTATTCAACTAGCTACCAACATTCCTAATTAATATTCAGCCCACATCTTTCCAAGCTGGCCATAAGGATCCTGTAAGACACACTTAGGCAAAAGTCTTACTGAAAGCCATATATGACTGACATGCCCCTCATCCACCAGGTATTCAAATGTAACAGTAATAATTGCTTCTAGGTCTAAGGGGCTGGGGTCCCACAAACTTCTCCCTCTCTATTAAGGGGCCCTCTTTGTTCTAGACCCAAGTAATTGAGACCAGGTTTAGTCCTAGAATTTCCTGACCACCTAAAGGGAGGGTTAGAATATTTTTCTCATTCTCTTTGTTTTTTTATATCCCCACCCAAAGCCTCAGGAAAAAATTACTTAAAACTTAAATTTTAGCTCATGTTTAGGGATCTCCCCAAAGGTGGAGAAGTAGAAAGTTACTCAATGGACAATGTAGATCAGATATGGGACAGCTATTATTTCCTCTGCACAAAAAAAATACTTAAAACACACAAAACTCACAGGCTATTATTGATAAAGACTTAAATATGAAGCAGTAAGCTATGACTCTTATTATGCTCTCCCAAGATATTGAAACTTCAAAACATAATATTTTCTAATACTGCCGAATCAGCATTCCACCTTCATTTTGGTGCTGTACTCTCTGAACACCTTCCCCAAAGTTTTTGGTTAAGCTAGGCCAGGAATTGAACTCCTTTTGTTAGAAGAGTAAAGAAATTGGAAATTTTTAAACTGGAG